AAAACCAAGAAGCAAACACCAGTGTGAGGCTGCAAAATGGTTGGGTGGGAATGTAACAGTAATGTCATCACCTGAGATAATACATTCAGTTCCAATCACCTTAAATAAAAACAGACAGAGCTGAAACAAAGGGGATGGGCCTAAAGATGAGTGATAAGAAGTCACATGTAAGTGTGCAGACAGAGACTGGAGAAATTTCATGCTCAGTTTAGAGAGCAGATAGATACAAGGGGATGCAAGAGCAAAACACAGTACTATCAGGCCATTCTTTTTATGCTCTTTCATAAAACTAGAAGAGAGGAAGTTCAAAGGTGACTGAGATTGAAAAGTAAGTAATTTTAAAACTCATAAAAGGAAAAACTCCAATCACATAGACATTAAAATGCTGCTGCTGGGGAAAGTGAGAGAGTTGATCTGAGGAGTCTCATTTCTCTTCTTTCTTAAACCTCTTTGTAAAGTACTCACCATCCTATGCTTTCGCAGACCTTAGAGGGATCCAGCAAAGGGCTGAGGTTTTTTAGCATCACCTTTTTAAGCCACCTCTTAAACAGTCAAACTTTACATAAGACTAAGGGGATCCCAGTACAAAGCACAAACGTCCTTTAGTTGTGCAAAACTGAAGAAGTAAACAAGGGTTTATAAAGTCACTACAAGGAATCAACTATGGACCTGATGCAGAGTCGTTAAAGCAGCTCAGCCTCTTTTTTCCTCATTTTTTAAATGACTAAAAAGAACAGCACCTCTCGCTCTTAAGTGCCAACTTGGATACTGGTGTGTATCCTACACAAATGGGTCATTTCAGTGATCACTGCTAAAGCAGCTCTAAATCACAAACGGCTGTGGCAATGAGGTTAGGAAGAAACATTCCCTCTGCCCCAGCATCCGCTTGAGTGGGGCTCTTGGTCCATTGTGCCACTTTGCCAGGCCTTGGAGGATGAACGTAACTTCTAGCAGGAGGCACTGAAGAATATTTCTCCAGCTCTGGCCTCCCTCCCTCCACATCCCAAAATCTCTCAAGGAAGAACTCAAATATGCATGAAGAATAGCATGGATTAAGAATGCCATTGCCGGTCTGTCAAAAAGCATAATCAAACCATTCCTGTGGGAATCTGCATATCAGCAGGAGTGTGTCAACCCAGGCAAACCTATACTGAACTCCTCAGCTCTATCAAGGCGCCTTCAGCAAGCTGTGCAGAAGCACAGCTACGCAGTTCAGATTGCAGGAACAGAGATCTCTGATATTTTCCAACTGCTAATAGTCACACTTATTTTCTTCCCTGACAGCCTTAGCCTAGATTTCCAAGTAAACTTTGCTACTGAGGAAGTATGGAAGGAGATCCAAATTGCTTCTGAACTGCAGAATCCCCCCCCCACAAAAAACCCCCCTGTTGCACAAGCCATGATCCGAAGTCAAAATTTTTCTTCAGCATTTGCAGGGGATGAGGAGGAGGACAAAAACTCTCTGCTTAGACAAAGGCAACTGAATGCTGGCAGCTTAACCCAATTTTGCCAGACACAGCTCCCAAAGAGGCGATATAAAGCTAAAGCACCCTATTTGCAAACTTAATATTGGCACAGCTCAATTCTTTCCCTCATCCTTCAGATGTGTTTGCGAACAAGCAGAGGCACAGAAAGCGCACGGGGAGCAGGAAGGGAGAAGGCAGAGAGAATGTGCATTATCAAAATACCTTGAGAGCAGTTCTTGGAAATGTGCAGCCTGCAAGCCTGTATCAGACACTCATTTCCTGTGAAGTGCACACAGGCCTTTTCATTTCTCCACTAAAGAGGACGAAAAGAAGGGGGCAGCTCTAAAGTCTCCAAAGACAGCACAAACCCAGCATTTAGCAATTTTACTAAAACTGAATTAACGTTTTTATACTATTAAATACCTAACGAAGAGAAGCAGAGATTCCCAGACATTTAAAAAGTAGGACTTTCTACACCTCTCACTTCTAAATCTTAACCTGAAATCTTGCATTTGGTGTGTGTGGGGGGATAGAAGTAAATTTTACTCGAGTTATTTTGACCACTCACTAACACAAAGCCACCAAATCCTGCTACATCAAACACCACTGCACTTTTTTTTTAAAGGGTCTGAGACCGATTTCAGCAAAATGGTGAGCTAATAAATACCTTACCCAGGCAGACTGTTGCAGGATATGCACAAATGTAAACCAGAAGAGCAGGCAGTAGTGAAGTAGACTGGCAGGATAGAGGGGGCTAAGTTGATATCATGCCTGTCTTCTGCCTCTGCTTCCACGTAATCAAGGATCTAATTAATGTAGCATTTAGTTGCATTACTTTAATCAAACATATGATGCATCCTAATGACACACACACTTAATAACTTTATGCTGTAAAAAGATACTATCCCTGTATGGCATACTCAGCTCTTGTACCAGCCACATACATTTTCATTTCCAGAAAGAGAGATGGGTGCCCACCTCCCCCAGCTTGCGAGCTTTAGGCAAGCACCACTAGCCAAGGTCTGCAGCAGCCTGGAATAACGTCCTGGGAACACGCCACCTCCTCGCAGCTTTTATTAATCTAACCACAGCATCAACCCGACCCAAATGATGTCATATTTAAGTATTGGCACTATCCGCTTATTGCTGACCAAACTAAGGTAGGAGAAACCAGAAGAGAGAAGCCTGTGGGTGGTAGGGGGAGATGGGGGTGACGAGGAGCTGCAAGGAAAGACTTGGAGGAAAGAGCAAAACCCCAGCAGGGACAGAAAGAAAGAGGAGCACTGGAAGAAAGAAACACAGCTCTGAAAGCACATTTCTCCTTTGTTTCTCAGCAATGCAACCACAGTATTAGTGACAGGAACTAAGAATTTACACCACCCAACTCCAGCTCTGTCCTTGCGCAAACCGACCACCAACTTCACAGAAATCCCAGCTGGATTGAGGGTAAGAGGCACTGGCTTTATGTTTGAAGCTGTCATCTGAAAACTGAATTTGGCCCTCTTCCGAGCAGGGACACACACCTGGGAGGAACTGCAACAGCTCAGCCTTTCCCTGGTGCTCCTCTATGCCTGCTTTTCAGGACTCCAGCAGAGTTTGCCTGTACCTTCTGATGCAATCTCAAACAAAAGCCCTGTGCTGCCTCTCGACCCCACTACATTTAAGTGAAAAGCAAGCCAGGTTATTGAAGGACGTATGACATACTGAACGATAACAAGCACAGAAATAACAAAGGCCCAGATCCCAGTGTAGCTCAGGGAAGGACGGGAACCTGTGTGGGAGGTTGGCATCCCAGCAATCCCGCGGGTTTGTGCCCAAGAGCCTTTCACTCTGGAGGGAACAAGAATCTGTACTTCAACAACTACGTTTTAAATCACATACCCAGCAGAATCGCTCATGAACACAGAAACAAAGCTTGGCTTCATCTGCAGCGACTGGCCACATCTCGTCGTAACTTCATTCAACCAAGACCAACATTATGCGATAACAGAGCCTCAGTCCCACAAACTTCAGTGCATGTGCATAATTTTTAAGCACATGACCAATAGCCCCGCTGTGACTGAATGGGCTATTTGACGTTCACACAGCATCTGAACTGCAGTTGCAATTGTTTGGAGAAAGAAGATATGCCTGCATACCCTCTTAAGGGCACGGTCAATGGAGAATGAAGCATCAGGAAATTGCAGTTATTTCTGATCCTACCCCATTTTTGCAGAGTTGAGCATGGTCAACATGTGACTGGCTTTTTCATTAAAGTTCTCTGAGAGCTGCAAGGACTAGAACTAGCAAACAGCACTGTCTGGACCACACAGTCCTAAATAGCAGCTTGCTAACAATACTCTTTACCCTCAACTTTCCAGAACAATGGTCAAGCCACATCCCCCTCCTTCACTCATGCAGGGGAAGAAAAAAGCCAGGGACATTAATTTAACATTCTTGAGTTCCTCTCAGTTACCTCCGGGGTTCATCCAGATCTTGTTTCCAAGCTTCTACTGAGCAGGAAGGAAGACACTCTTAGACTAAGTTTTAAAAAAAGGAGAAAAAAAAAAAAAAAAAGTCCTAAGAGTAGCACAAGCTGAGGTTTTAGCTGGTAACTATTCCAAAATTCTCAGTAAGAGCGTGTGTGTTTGTGGGAAAAAGTGAGTAGCAGATCCTACATGGCTGCGAGCACCATGACTCAGATTGCATAAAGAAGGAGGTTTTAGCGATAACCTTTGCCGACGAGGCTTTTCATGGGTGCGCAGCACTGATCTTCTGAGAAAAGGCAGGTGTGAGGCTGCGTGCTGACTGTGCCGGGTCTGGAGGATGGCGAGTTCCTCTGCCTTTCAAAGGCAAAACCCCAACAGGCACGTACACTCCTGGTTCACGGTTACCCCGTTTCCCTGTAACGCCTCCGATTCTGGCAGGCAGCTCACTTTTCCAGCCAAGACTAAGCGTTAACACCCTGCGCACCGCTTCTCCTGCGCTTTATGTGAAGGGAAAGAAGTGGGGTGAAGACCGAGTTACTCGCTCCCCCGCACCCGTGCGGCTGCGTCCCTACGGACCCATCTGAGACATTGCATAATTCGCAGGTTTCACTTTAAAACAAGCATCTCCCTGCCCCGGTGCTGCGGAGGACACCTTGACGGCAGGACAAGCCCCCCCGGGTGCTCCCAGCACCCCACCGCCCCCCCAGCTCGGCACATGGCTTGCTTCAGGGCCGGCAGGGAGTTGCCAGCACCCCTGACACCCTCCCCCCCGCCCCCCCCCCGGGGAAAGCACCCCAAGCCCCAGCCACGCTCCCTCTTCCCCTGCCAGCAACAGCCCCAACCAACACCCCCGGGAGCCAAACCAGTGGGGGGGCTGCACAGACACACACAGAGCTCCCCCCCCACACACACACCCCCCCCCCCTCTCCAGCTCCCGCCTTTGTAAGAAGCCAAAGGGGGGGACCGGACGAGACAAAACAGACAACACCCAGCCACCCGCTCCCCCCCACCAAAAATAAATAAATAAATAAAAAAGGCCGTTTCCAGTTGACGCCGCACAACTTACTCTCGGCACCTCCGGGGCGGCGGGCGGGCGGGCGGGCAGCGCTGCTGCCGGTGCGAGCGAGCGCTCAGTGCCGGGGCGACAGCGGCGCTGCCCGGCCCTGCCCCCCCCGCCGCCGCCGCCGCCGCCGCCGCCGCCGCCGCCGCCGCCGCTCTCCCGCCCCGAAGAGAAACCGAGGCGGCCCCGCTCCCCGCCGCCGCCGCGCTCTGCATCCCCCCCCCCGGCCCCTCAACTCACGCCGGGGCCGGTGCGCGGCTTCCCGGAGGCGGCGCGGCTGCCCGCCGGGCCCTCCTCGGCCCCGGGGCGGGCGGGCGCCGCGGCGGCGGCTTCGGCTCCGGGGAGCGGAGCGGAGCGGCGGGGAGGGGAGGGGAAGGGAGGGGAGGGGAGAGGAGAGGAGAGAAGAGGAGGGGAGGAAACCCCCCAAGTGTTTCTTTTCCGAGGAAGGAGCCACGGGGGAGGGGAAGGGGAGGGGTTTCTCCCTCCTCCACCACCCCGTCTTTCCACGGCGTGGCTCTTGCAAGGGGAATAACAAAAAAAAAAAAAAAAAAAAAAGAAAAAAGTGAAGAAGAAAAAAGTTTTTCTTTTGTAAAAAAGAAAAGTTGGATGGATTGGGGGGGAGGGGGAGGTGTAGGGGGGGGAGAGAGAAAAACAAAAAGAGGCTGTGAAAGCCCCCTCCGCTGCGGACTGGCAGAGGAAGCCCACCGGGACGGCCACCACAGCACCCACGGCCCCGCGGGACCCGCCGCATCCACGCGTCGCCCCGGGGAGGCGGCGGCGGGGGCCCGGGGCTCTGCCCCTCCTGCCAGTCACCGTCTGCTGCACCCCAGCACTGGGCTGGAGCATCGGGGCTCGGAGGCACCGGGGCGGGGGGGGTTGGGTGTGGGTGCTGTGCCCAGGGCTGGGGTAGCAGAGCTCTGAAACACCGCGGGGTGGGGGGGTGGCGGGGGGAATATGGCCAGGGCCGAGGCACCGGGCAGCAGAGACAGAGAACGAGGGCCCTTGGCACCAGGGGAAAATGGGGAGGCTGCCCCCCCCCCGGGCCCTAACTTCACTGCCAGAGTTCTCCCAGCTCTTCTCGGACACTACAGGAGCCCCCAGGAGGGCACCGGGCGCCCTGGCAGTGCAGCCTGCGCGGCGGCGTAAGGCGCGCTTGAGCAGCGTGCCTAAAAACGCACGCTGTCGCCTCGGTGGGTCAAATGAAAATACTGGAAATCATGGGGAAAAAAATGGGAAGACGCGCAAAAATTTGATGGTGTAAAATAGAAATAGTGCACCGCATGGTGCATACCATGTATGCATATTACTGCTCCAAGAGAACAGATGTAATAGGAGAAAAGATAAACTTCGGAATTCAGTACAAACCCCACAGTTAAAGGCCTAACCTGCAATTAGGCTATGACTTGATGGCACCGTTGGTGCTCTCAGTCATGTATATACTTTCTCCAGGTCCTGCCGAGACGGCTGCACGCATTCCCTTGTGCATGCATGCCAGGTGAATTGCCTTGTTGAAAACACTGCATGCAAACTCCAAATGCCGACATGCTCTGGCTGCTCTGTACCAGTCCAGTGATGCAAAGCAACTGTAACTCCGGGTTGAGCAGCTGACTGGGAGAGCTTTACAGCTGCTTTGCATTGCTAGGGAGCACGAAGCAGTCAGAAACACACCGCCGAATCTGATCAGCAGCCTTGCCAGAAGTTCCACTGAGTATTGAGACATCAGTCCTTGTTTTTTCTTTCAACCAAGCGTGAAGATGCTGCTGACCACAGAAGAATTTCTGAACTTCCATAAGAGTCTGGGCAAAGTGCTTCGTTCTTTTTCAGGGAGGCTTCAGTGGGAGGACCTGCCACTGGAGCCCTAAATCACAGCAAAGACGACGTGCTCATCTGTTCCATTTTTGGGTTTTAAGTAGGCTTGTCACACTTTTTTTTTGTATTTTTGGATGGCAGCTTCAAAAATAGCCTGTGGCTTGCTTTACAGTTGCTAGTAGAGAGTCCGTTTCCCTCTGTGGATATTTACAGCATTTTTTGGGTGACTTCATAGGCTCCACCAGCCTTCATATTAAGTGGACTAGTCTAATTCTGCCTTTTATCCTTCCTCTTTGTCTTTGCCTGTCAAAAGTAACAACCAGCCCCACTGTTCAGAGATCTGTTTGTGGGTCTTGCTTTTCTCTCTCTCAACCACTTGAAACCATGACCTTGCAGCAGTTACAGCTGAAGCACATTGCAGCAATCCTCTTCAGCCATAAAAGCTGGTGAGACGTATCACAATGGCACTACTGACCACAATTTTCCGAAGCTCAGACTCGACTCACAGGGCCCAAAATGTGTTCAGGATCAAGGTACCTCTGAGGTGGCTTCATTATAGGAGGAAAACACAAGGATGCTGAAGTAGCTTTGTGTCCTGTGACACGAAAGAGGAGACGGCAACCAAATCATGCTGAAGCACTCGCTTCACTAGTGCTGCATTTCTTCCCTGCTAGCCTGCAACCAAGCCTGGATGTGCTTAAGGTGAAAAACAAACCCTGCCTTCAAGTGAGTTTTCTTAAGAAAAAAAAGAATATGAGTAAATTCCTGAGAACCAAGAGACTCCAGTGCTCTCACCACTGAATTGATGCTTTTTTTCCCCCAACATGCATTCAGCGCATGGATACCCACCTGAAAATCTCTGTGTAATGGCAGTGGAGTTGCAGCAGGTTAATGGTCTCGCCATGAGCAACTTGTTTTGGACACTGCCTGCTGAGGCACCTCCTAAAGACAGGGTTTCTGAGATGCCCAGGATGCTGATCACAGCGCGGAGAGGAATAGCTCCTGAGAAAAGGCCAGGATTTGTTCTTAGGATTTACAAGTGCTATCCTGCCCCTCATTTTTTCCTCTGCCTAAGGATACATACAGCCTCACTTATCCCTGATACTAAAACTTTAAAAACCATTAAACATGAAAGCATTAATTGATAGACCTGCTGATGGAATGAACCATTTCCAGAGAGTTTTGCCTAAAGTCCGGCTGCTGAGAGCAGTAGGTCTGAGTTCATTCTACCTTTGAATCGTAGTTCTGCTTTGTGGCATTTCTCTGCTTGTTCTTCAGCAACCCCCAAGTCTTTGGTAAGTTCAAAGATGTTGATGTCCAACCGCCCAAGAGCCAGTAACACCCTAACAGCTTTGCTCCTTCTCAGCATGCAGATTCCTTATGGCCTCCACAAGGTAGAAAGAGCCACAAGCTGCCTGTTTGCCCCTGTCAGTTTGGGACGTATGGGAAGAAGAAAGGTATTTTGGGGTAGGTCTCTGCAAACTGATGAATAAAAATAGTTTTCTGGGAAAGCAAAATGCATTCATTGCCCCAGAGGAAGAGAGAAAGTAATACGGTGAGGGAAAGAACTGAAGTGGAGAGAATGAAGAACTGAAAACTTGCAGAAGAAAGGAAGAGAGGTACAGAAAAGCAAAAGAACATAGATGGCACAGGGAGTGGGAAGATGGGTGAATGCGTTAGATGTGTCAGTACTTCTTTGCCCTTCAGCCAGCAAACCTGTGAGTGGAAGCTCAGCTGGGACTGGACCATCATCTCCAGATGATGAGTGACCTACTATTTAAGTGCTCTGTGCCTTACTGGGCTCCCAGCCAGGCCCAAACATGCTTTCGCTCACTGGTGTGCACACTGGTTTTGTGGATGGGATGTCAGTGGGAGGTGAAATTGCCCTGGCGATGGAGCGATCCAGGTGGCTCAGACATAATCTGGGAGGTTCCTGCCAGGTGGTCAAATGAGAAGGAAAGGGAGAGAAGAAAGCATGGGGCAGGCCTGGGTACCCTGGCAGGAGAGGTGGTGCAGGCAGTGCATGAGATTTTGTAGAGAGAGGAGGATGGAAAGATGCTTGGGGGGTGGGTAGGAAATGACTGCCACGATCTCCTGATGTGCTGAGAGTCCAGCCTGCAAACAGTACAAAATGTAGAACCTTTGACTGCATACAGTCCTAGATGGTTTTTCCCTTTTGACCCTTCCTCCCCTTTCTAGGTGGTCCCTCTTGTAACTTTCTAAAAGCCTCCTTTTAGGAGATGCCAACAGCAAAGCATTAAGAAGAAAAAAAAAAAATACCACCATCACAAAAAGAGAAAGCCAGGAGGACAAAACCAATACATGAAAATCCCCCAGTCCCCTTCTTCCACTCCCCCCCCAAAAAAAAAAAACCAAAACCAAAACCAACAAACAAAAACACCTTTCTGTGGTTTAGAGCAAGCAGAGGCTGTATTAGTTCGACTCTTAGGAGAAAAATTAGCACAAGTAGTGGCCCCTTTGCATGAAGTGGTGGCCAGGCCCCTCCTTCCCCTCCGAGAGCAGGGCTCTTCTCAGTAACGAAGAGAAACTGCTTTCCAGGAAAGCAAAGATACAGGGGCTGCCCAGAACAGAGTGACCTAGGGCAGCTGCGGGGAGCTGTGTGCCGCTGCTTGCAGGCTGTCAACCTCCGGCACCGAGCTGGTGGCGAGCGATGCCGCATGTCGCGGAGGGCTCGAGAGTGGGGAGCCGTGGCCAGCAATAGCCAACGGGCACCCCACACACTGCTGCTGATTCACGTTCGTTCCAGCCTGCAACACCCTCTGCTGTTCTGGCTTTCCCCCACAGCCCTGGCGGACACGGTGCTCGTGTGCTGCCAGCCCAGCACAGCACGGGGCTCCTGCACGCTCCTCGGCTGGGCCTGAGGCAGCGGCGGGGGGCTGAGCTGCAGCAGGGCAGGTGGGCACTGCCAGCTCCTTTCCTTACAATCACGTAGGCCCAAGAAGCTGAGATTAAAGCGTACCCAGTCTTCTGCTTCAGATTTTTATGATACGCACAGTTATTTATGTGAGGACACGAGTCTAGCAAGTCCTTGTATGTTTATTATTGCCAAACTCCAAAAGCAGAGCAGTGGAAAAAAGGAAGGGCAGTTCTCACTCATTGCCAGTGCAGTTAGGGCTCTGTACATGCCCCTGGTTCATTTGAGGGAGGAAGACCCAGCAGGCAGTGACCTTCTAGGTTTTCAAAGAAAGCACCAGGCTGTATAGCCTAGAAGGTATTTAGGTCATATTTAAGCAGCTGCAGAGAAAACAAACAGCCTTTTATAACTGTATAGCAAACCGCTCCCTCGCCTCTAAATCTGGCCTATATGTCAAACACCCTGGACCAGTAACAGAGGATGATCCGGGACAGGGGAAAAGAGGCACCAGCCCACGGCACCAACGGACTCAGGTGTGAGCTCCCTGGAGGCTCTGTGGCCCCATAAATCTGTGACCACCGCAGCTAACTGCTCCTAACATTGCTGCCCACCAGACATGGAGGAAGAAGCTCAGTTAAAGATTTCATTGTGTTGCTGAGGCTTATTGCTTCTCCCTGTTATTCCACATTTTCAGAACATGTTCCTGGAGTGCTGTCCAAAAGTGGTGGACCTTGCCCCAAGCCCTCTGCTCAGAATCCTTCACCTGGAACATGTAGCCTCAGCCCTGCCCATGCTTCCCCAGATTTGTTCCTCCATGCTGAGACAGGAGGTGATGCTGGACCCCACGCACAGGAGACAGGCACTGAGCTCTGACCTATGCCCACCTGCTTCAGGGTTTTCCCCAAAGCAAACAAAAACAGCCATGAGAGGCCACCCTGAAGGAGCTCAAGGAGCAATCCAAGACAGACCCCATAGTAGAAAGGTCCTCAGTCAGTGCTGGAGCCAAAAGCAGGGGCTTGCTCAGCTGAGCCTCTTAAATGAAGAAAAACAACATGGAAGGCAAGAAGGAGTATAGCTATGGGGTATAATTTTGGGAGCGGTTGTAGCAGAAGCATTGCAGGCTGGTACCATCTGACAGCAGTGTCTGTTGCACTAGACTAACTTCCAGACTGGTCTGCTTTCCAGATGATCACAGGACAAAGGACTCTGTCACATTAATCATTGTTGTTTTGTAAACATCCCCTCTTAATTCAAAAGCTGCCAATGGTTGGGAAGCTGCCACCACCCTGAGTAAACTGCTCAAGTATTTAACTACTTTCTCCATTATAAAATGTATATTTCATCTCTAGACTTCTCTTGTACCATTGTTAGGCAGAGCAGTAATTAGAGGAGCAAAAATTTAATCCTACAGAGTTATACTTAGGCTTTGATCGTATCAGTCCTAAGCGCTCCTCCTCCATAAGATGTCCTCCAACCTCTTAACAAGCCTTAGAGCTCTTGCAGGAAGCCTCTCCAACATTGTTAACTTCCTCCTTGAATCGTAAGCGTCAAATCTGAGAATTCTTTCACACCAGTAATCACATCCATGGAATTAGCAGATACAATATAATCTCCTGCAATACAATCTCATTACACCTGTGCTGCATTCCCTGCTTATACATCTGAGGGTGGAATTAGCCTTTCTGCCTGCAATGCTGCACTGGGAGCTCACATTCAGCTGCTCCTACACCATGAGTCAAGCCTTTGCCGGAGTCACTTCTTCCACGAACCGAGCTGCCAGACCAGAAGTGTAGCCCGTGTTGAGTAACTCACCATTGGGCTGTTTCAAAAACAAATGTTACATGCTTGGACCAACTTTAACATTTTGACACTTGCTAGCTAGTCAATTTTCAGTCCAATTACTACAAAATGTGTTAATTTGGTATCATTTCAGTTTTTTAAAAATCAAAACAGTATAAGACTGTATCAGTTTCCTTGCTGGAGCCCTATTACATCAACAGCTTTTATCAGCCAAATCCATAACCCAAACCTATAACTTACATCTCCAAAAGCTACTGAACAGTTGTATGGATTCTTTTCCATAAACACATGAGACTGCATTAACTAGAACTCTTCCCTTGTTTTTAAATGATCCTTGTATGTGCTATTTCCTTATTCTGTCCGAGGTCAATAAGGAGCTGGTAGGCCTGTAATTACAAGTGTCAGATTACTTCTGGGTTTTGCTATTATTTTGTCTCAGCCTATGGGGAATCTGCCAGATTTTCCAAGTGAAGGAAGTCCAGACAAGAGCTGGAGAGAAACTCCTCTCCTTTCCCTGTTGCTTCATACATTAAAATAGGTGCATACTCTAACGGTGCATGTGGGTTTTATGGAGACCTGGAGAGTAGTTCGCCTGGCTAGTTAACCAAAATATGCCCAGGGGATGGGAACCAGCAGACTCCTGAATCTGTCCCAAATATAAAAGACTTTCTGATTAAAGAGGAAACAGAAAGCTGAGACAGGAAAGAGTTTATTTGTATGATGGGTGCTCATATATAATTTATATGCAATAAACGTTTCTAGCTATTTCATTAGTTGCAAATAAAGTGATACAAATGTGCACCACTTGGAGCTGATGCATGGTGTGTGCCTGGGGCTGCTTCCAGCTGAACAGTGGTGGTTCACGTGGGGATGATTTAACACTCCAGCAGTCCCACTATCCAAATTCTGCTGCAGGTTAATCCCTGGAGCAGATGCACGTCACTTTTTCAACTACTCATAGCTTGGCTTATTAACTTAACCAAAGATTTCCATTTAAACTATCACACTGGCCCCAGATTGTGGTGGATAAAGAGCCAGCATCTATTTGTGCCCTTTTGCAAGGCTGAATCGCTCTGGGACAAGGATGGCAACAGGCACACGCCCGCAGCAAGGAGAGAAAAATCAACTTAAGGTATCACAGCATTTTGGCGCTTAATACGTCAGCGGCTACTTCAGACATCAGAAACTCATTCACATCAGTGAAATTCAACACAAAAGTAGGGAAAACCAAAGGAAAAGCATACCACACGGGGCACCTGGATGGATCTGCTGCTGTTGAGCAGAACCCAGGGGCAGATGGTTGTTCATATTCTTCCTCAACTCTTTCCGTATAAGGCAGCTCATTTAAGCCCTTGTGACTCCCTGGGACCATCCCCAAGGCAAGCAAGGTCTGCGGATGGGCTCAGGGGAGGGAGATGTCCACTGAGAAATGTCTGCAGGGTGCAGATTTGTGGTTTAGCCCCTCGTTGAGCCCTCTCCTTTTCATAAATCCTGTTCTTCCAGAACATGTCAAATTAGGGGATAAGGTCTTCACCTCTGCAACTCTGTGCAGAGGGCAGGTATGAGAAGGCAGCTCTCCTGAGGCAGGGTGACATCAAGCAGCGTGCATGACAAAGGACAGAAGACCCATTCAGGATCTATTCACTGGAGAGGTGAGGACTTCCCTGTGGACATTAAGTGCCTCTCTGCTCCTGCCAACCCCGCTGTGGGCTGCCCGAGCTGTGCTTGCACCCAACACCAACTCACCAGATTTCCCTCCTGTCCTTGCAGGGATCCTTCCCCCGCTCTGGGCTGCTGGAGCAGGGAGGGAGCTGGTCCTTGTCCCAGAGGAAGAACTGCTCTGCAGGCTCTGACAGCACCCCAGACGTGCCAGCTGCCCGCAACTCCAAAACCTGGAAGCCAGCAGGCTGGGGCTGGTTACATGATACATGCTGCCCTGTGATCACTTACTTTCCTGTCCACTATAGACTGCAACATATACTCACAATGTGAGGCTTTATCTAGAGGTATATCCTCTATATATCCTCTGAAAGAAATCAGTTAAGCTAGCAATAGCATGCTTTTTTACTTCTATAACTGCACGAGAGAGTTTGGGGTACAGGGCTATTACTAATAAATCACCATAAATAGATCAATATGTCAGTACTTCAGTGCTTGAATCCAACCAGCTATGGGGAATTTGTCCCTTGGTAGCAATCAATCTGCTGTACTTAAAGTTTCCTCACCAGATCTGCAGCTAGCACAAACTGATCAATGCTGTTCCAAGTCAGCGGAGCGTAACAGCTTTGCAGGACCCAATGTACACCCCTGCAGGTCTCCTCCTCCTCTGCAAGGACGCAGAGGTTAAATTATCTCACACTAACTCCCAGTTCTTTATGCAAAAACAGCCTTTCTTGCCACCACCCCATTGCAGCCCAGCCAACACCCCAGCAACTTTCCAGATAGAGTCTAATTTGGACCTCCACAGACAGCAATTCCACTGCAGTTTCCTGCCGTACTGCTTAGAAGTAGCTGCAGCAAAATGAATTCTGTGAGCCATCCAAATTTTGCCATGCACCCTTCATAGGGCCCTCCTCCTGGGGAGTGGTTTGCCAGGTGGTGTGGGAAGAGATATGCAGACTTGTAAGATGCTGCGCTGCTCGCTCTTTCAGAGGGGTAAGAAGCATTGCTAGAGAAGACATGAGGGACCTGGAGATCTCAATTAGCTTTGGCTAATAGAATGAGAGTCCTGCTGCTGATGGAGGGTCCAGGGCTGCATCCTAGTGCAATCTTCTCCACTTGGAGCTCTATCCCACATCACCTATCGCTGATGATTTCTGTGAGGAGTTTCTCCTTTCCCGTGAGGTACCTGCTGATGGAGCCTCCTACCAGAAGTGACTTGAGATGCGGTTCCCAGGAGTCCAAGTTCAGTAGAGAATGCATCATTCCCACCTAAGCCCCAGAGGTCATCTCAGTGACTCAAAGCAAAGAGAGTCCAGATCCCACTGGCTGCTGGAGTGGGGAAGGGGGCCCAAGGTAGTGGGGGAGAGGGTCCAAGACCTGTGAGTGGTGATGCACATACCACCAGGGCAAGCATTTACAGCAGGATCCCAGGGTTATTCCAGACAAGGCTTGTGCCCAAAACCTGGTATTAGGTAGAGGTCAGGGCTGCCAGATAAACAACTTTGGTAACGATCACCCATCTACAAGCTCTGACTAGAGCTCTTGCCTGTTAACAAGCTCCCTGGGACCAGCTTTCAGAGGATGTTGCATGTGGGCACAAGTTCTGGGAGGTCAAGTTCCCTGTGCCCCAGGGACATGACGCAGCCAAGGCCTGGGGACCGTGAAGGGGATACCCTGTGTCGTGCTTGCATGGCTGGCTGGACAATGCCACCACCTTCAGTGGGCTCATTCCACTGCTCCCCAGAATTGGGTTGGGCTCATAAGGATGGTCTGTGTCATGCTCCAGGTCTGCATGCCTGATTCTCTCCCTTCTTCAGATTGCAGTTAAGTTGCAATGGATTTTCCTGGCCATGGCCTGTTGTCCCACCAACCACAGAGGTTTGTGCAAGGGTTCGCGTCACTCCTGCTCCTGATGCAGGGTCCTATTCCTCAAGAGCCATGCTATAGAGAGAAGAACCACAAGCCTAGCAGCCACTGCCTAACAATTATACTGCTTTCTGGTGACTTGTGAAGAAATCCCAGCAATTCACTGGAAGGCCCTGCCCTCCATAACAACAGCAGCAGCAGCAATTGATTATTTGAGTGTTTTACAAATCTGTTCTGCCAAGCTGTCTCTTGCTTTTCACCTTTTGTAATCAGACACCCACCTCTGACAGTTGTAGGAAAGAAACTGTAGATGGTACTGTGGCCTCTTTCCCTCCATGTGGCTCCCCAGCACTCGTGGTCTGCTTTCCTGCTCCTCCTCCATGGAGGCCTAAGAAAAAGCAATGCACTGGACTTTCCAAAACTGTAAGAATTAATGTTCTGATTTCCTTTCTAATGGCTCACCTGGAGGGGAGGCTGTGAGCTACACGGCACTCTTATTTCTTCTCAGTGATGGGTCCCCAAGGTTACCTTTCAGCTGCTGTGGTGCAAAGCCTATTTTGTGTGATGAGTTTGAGCTAGGCAGGAGAAACAGGGCTGTAAGCTTCTACGCTGGTTTCTTTCAAGCTTTACAGGCCGTTCTGAAAATGTATTGTGTAATTTAGGAGACTGATGTGCTGAACTGAGCAGAGAGTTTTCAATTACCAATATAAAAATGACTCCCTAAGAACAGACATTCATTCTGCTCTCTCCAACTGTTCCAGCAAGGCATCCCACTGCTCACAGCGCCTTTAACTTTGCTTCGTTTGACTGCAGAGTCCTTGACTTAAGGGGAATGGTTGTGGTCTGCACTGGGCCTGGTAGACTGGCTCCTGGAAGGAATGAGGGGCACCAGCAAGCAGTGTTCCCAGCCATACTCGGATGTTGACTTTCCTAAGCCAGGTCTACGCTGCTACCCCCTTTCTGGGCAACTAATGAGGAAAACTGCATAGAAGCCTCTCCGGCTGAAAGCAGTCTGGTTTTGCAGAAGAGGAATGGAGCAGCTAAGGCAGTGGTGTATGCTGCTTATCTGCTGCCGCTTGGCCCCGCAGTAGAGTCAGTTCACTGTGATGGGTCACAGTCCAGGAGAGTGACTCTCATCCCTGAAGCAACGCGATTCCAGCAGGCGTTACGAGTTCAGAAGAGTTTCTCCATCAGAGAGCGACAGAAGTTCAGCATTGGTGTCAAGCACTGAGCCTGTTTGATGTTGCTGCAATGCTCCTGGGTCACAGTTAAAACATTTCACGCTGTGTTGCTGCAGTACAGGCAGTTTCCATCGCCAGTAACATGTCTTCTGGAAGTAGTCAAGGATGCAGCCGTACCTCCATGACTGCGGCTCCTCACAGGTCCCTATCTTGCCCAAGTAGGTTGATTGCAGCTTCAGACCCCACGGACATCATTAACTCATTACTCTAACCGAGCTCTGTGCAGGCACAGGCTCTGCACAAACCACAGGCTACCTCCTACAGCTCCTCCCTGCCCCGGGCACCCAGGAGGGAGCTTGCAGGCGCTGGGCCAGGCCAGGAGGAAAGCAAGTGGGAGCAGTGCTGCGGCGGGTGGCGTTTGCCAGGATGTAGGGCCACGGGCGGGGAGCCGTGGGGAAGTGGGCGATGCTTCCCGGGGCAGGGGAGGCCGCCCTGTACGTGCCCCCAGCCGCCCACCACCCCGTTTGGCGGCGGGGCCCCCGGAGCCCTGAGGCGATGAGGGAGGACAAAAGATGGCGGCCCGCCCGCCCCGCCGCCTCCCCCGGGCCGCGGGCCGGCGGCGCGGCGGGAGGCGGAGGCCCGGGGCGCTCCGGGGAGGCGGGGAGCAGGGCGGTGCAGCCGGTCCAGCCCGCCCCGCCGGCCGGGTTGCGAAGTCCAGCCGCGGCCTTGCTCAGCCATCCCGGGCCGAGAGCGGTAGGAGGGGGCCGGGGCGCAGAGTGCGGGCGGCGCGGGGAGCGGGGCCGGGGCGGCCGCGGCGGGGCCGGGATCAGCTGCCCCAGCGCGCCCGGAGGCGAAGGCCCGGGTGTCTCGCTGCTGGAGGTCTTCGCTCCGGCAGCATTGCTGGGGCTGGTCCTGGGCTGAGCTTAAACTGGCTCATGGGAAGGAGGCTCCGGGTCTGGCTGGCTGGGGCCATGAGGGTCTGTAAGTGCTCTCGGGGTCCCGACAGCAGCCTGGCCTCTCAGCCCGCCTCCTCTGTCCTCACACCTTCCAGAGGTGTGGACTCAGGAGGGACTTGCTGTTGAGTGATTTAATTGCTGTGGGGGTCTCAGGGAGCTATTTAAGGGAGCAGTAACCTGAGACAAGTCATAGGGAAGGGGATATAACATGAGAGACTTGGGGATGGGGATAGTCGGGGTGTCCATGAGGGGCCCCAGGGGTCAGAAGGGCTTGGGGGTAAACGGGAGGTATTCAAACCACACCTGGAAGATCCCCAGAGGCTGGGTTTTACTGGGGGGGGGGTTCACTCAGGAGCCTGGAGTTGAGTAAGGGTCAGACGTAGTTCAGTGATTGTCAGGCAGATCGGCAGGGATGAGACAGGATTGAGGTTGAGCAGGTGCCTGACGGGTTGTGGACCCGTATCCCATTGCTAGCCCTGAGAGGTGCGCGGGAGGGTGGCAGCAGTGACCTGCTGTGTGGCATGTAGCCAGCGGCTCTCGAAGGTGCCGACTGGTGGTGTGAAAAAGGAGAAACACCAAGGTAACGGAGGAGAAGGTGGTAACAGTCTAGAACTAGAAGCAGCGTCCGTATTCCCGAAATTGTCTTTTTGGTCCAGGACAGGTGCCTGGCTGACTGCAGCTAGCTGGGGGAATTCTTCGTGGTTCCCTCTTGCCAGGACTCCTGCACCTTCTAGTTGGGTTGCAGCTACTGCAAAGACACAGAGAGGTTTGCTTCTCCTGTGCAGGGAAAGCTTGTTTCTTCCTGGGATCATTGCTAGTATGTGCTGGGAGGAGGATTCCCCAAACAGACAGGCAGAGACGGCAGCTTGGGATGTTGAATGGGGAGCTATAAATCAGCAAGCTGCTAATTAAGACCACAGGAGGCTGGTGAGTTACTAAAGACCTGTACTACTCTTTTCAGAGCTCTGGGCCATTAATAAGATTCCCAGGACCTATTCTGTGCACGTGATTCTCCAGAGACATCACTTGCAAGCAGTCTATTCTGGGCATGTTCTCAGAGCTGAAGTTCCCTGTGCCCTGGGGCCATGTGGCAGCCAAGGCCTGGGGACCCTCGGAGGGACACCCTGTGCTGTGCTTGCACGGCTGGCTGGACAACGCCAACACCTTTGACAGGCTCATTCCACTGCTCCCCAGAGGTAAGTCTGGCTCATCAGGATGGTTCTTGTTGTGCAGCAGGGCTGCACATCTGATACTCTCTCCCTTTCAGATTGCTATTATGTGGCAATGGATTTTTCTGGCCATGGCTTGTCATCGCACCGACCTGCAGGCTGCCCCTACCATTTTCTGGATTATGTGACCGACGTGTGCCGGGTGGCAGCAGGTGGGTAGTTGAAGGGACCCTTGAGGGGATGTTTGTGCAGGGGGTGCTATATCACTCCTGCTCCTTAGAATGAGCAGGCAGCATTTACTGCCAGGAGAGGGGTCAGTTCCCTCTGATTCTCCCCAGCCTGATGTTAGCCGGTGCTTTGTGACCACAGACTGAATAAGCATCCCACTTTCTCACTGTTTTGTGAGAAGAAAGTTAGCACCAGGAAGCAAGTGTTTCTGTACTAAAAAGCAGTAGTGGCAAAGTGGTGAATGAAACTAGTTTTGCCAGACTGATTTTTTGCAAGCAGCCAGTGACCACTAACCTGTGTTAGGTGTAAGTTGGAGACCCTTCTGGTTCTCGCTGATGGCAGCTTGTTGCTTGCTTTAGTATCATGCAAAGAAATCTGAAAGCTAAGGTGTCTTGGGCTCCTAGTGACTCCTGATCTAGCAGCCTGTCTGTATGCTGATCTTGCGGAAGGTTGTTGGCATGTGCAGTTTTGCATCCCTTGTTCTGTATACAAAGAGCCTTTAGAAATTATTTGACATGCCAGAGGGCAAAACACATCTTTCAGTGAGGTATATTTCTGATGAGCAGTACTGATAAAGCAGTATTTTCCCATAAGCCTCTCAGAGTTCCCTAAAAATGGACCGAAGAGCCTGATCTGCTAAATGGTGCAGAGGGCTTTCACTGGGAATAATCATACTTTCCTCAAGGGAGCAGACCTGGCTCTGTGTCCTTATGGCTCTTGTGGAATGCCCTGCAGCAGGATGTTCTGTCAGGGTCTCTCTTCCAGCAGATGCTGCCCAGTAAGGCTCCTCTGCTTCTTGCCAGTCTCACGTCTGAAAATTAATGGGAATTTGCTGTAGTTTGTTTGCCACACAGAAGGAACTTGAGAGCTGCATGACTTAACCACCAAGGAAATGAGGTGGTAGATGCTCTTTTGCTTTAAAACTGGACTACTTAGCTACCTCATTTCTGGATTAGGAAGCAAATTAAACAGTGCGAAAGCCCTCCCAGGAAGAGGGGCCCGTGTTGGTGGAGAAGCAGCAAGATGCCACTGCTCTGGTTTCTAATGTCTGTTTTTGTCTGTTGCCACTTAGCTTTGCAGTGGAAACGGTTCACCCTGATGGGTCACAGTATGGGTAAGTGGCTCTTGTCCTTGTAAGATGTGAGATTTGTGGAAATAGGAGTAGATAATTAATTTACAAGACATGCTGCAAAGAGCAGGGTTGGAATATTTATTATATTATGTCAAGTACCAGGTTCCCAGTTGAGTGATTCAAAAATCTGTGCCCTTGTTTGAAATGCCTCTGCTTTCAAAACACTGTAGTACAAACATTGGTAACTCTTGCGGTGGCCTTCCCCTCCACCCCCAGGGAGGAACAGTGATGGGCAAAGAGGTGTGGTCTATGGCAGGAGAATTCGAAGCAAGCCTGGTCCCTGCAAGGCCACAAAGCCTGGGGAGAGCAGGGCCCTCCTTGGTGCGTCGTGGAGCTTGCTGAGGGGAGCCAGACTCCAGGCTCTGTCCCTCTGTGCTTGTCACTTGACTGGGTTTTGCCACGATTTGGCTTTTGCTCCCCAGGGCTGCTGTGGCCACAGCTCCCAGGACCTGCACACCATGGTGTTTTAACTAGTAACTCCTCCTTGGCCTTTGCTGCTTGAGAGGGAGATGGGGATGGCACAGGACGGGGCATCCAGCTGCTCTTTGCCTGTATCCTGCCTGCTGGGAGAGCTCTGCTCTCTAGCTGGGACTTTATTCCTTGGTACAACATTCATTTCTCCTTCTAAGGCAGCTCCTGCTGTGGGGAAAGGGAGTTTCTGTTACCAGGGGGTCCTGTCCATAACTGAGCACCCTTCTCTCCTTTGCAGGTGGGTCTGTGGCAGGAATGGTGAGTAAAGCATCCTTTCTTCATGGGGTTTGATTTCTGCAGCTGGAACAACCAATGGGAGAGAAACGAAGGGACAGACTGTGTGGGACTTGGATCTCAGGAAAGGAGAGGCCCTTCCCTGACCCCCTCTCCAGTGTACCAGGACAAAGACATCATTCAGCTCTTAGCCTTTCTCTTTCTCATATTGTTTCATCTCTCCTCAGTTTTGTTTCCTTTATCCTGAGATGGTGGACAAGCTGATCCTGCTGGAAAATCTTGGCTTTCTGCTAGCTCCAGAGGTTAGATTTCATGAGTCCTTCCCCTTCCTTTTTTAAACAAAAAATAGATGTTTGGTTTTTTTTCTTTCCCCCATTTGTTCAGAGAAAGCACTGGTGTGACCAGTTCCTGGCAGGTCACAAAAGTCTCGGGGCTCTTCCTTTTGGCAGGCACAGATCTGCTCCTTGTTTCATGGACTGAGGTCCTTGCTTAGGGTGGCCCTTGGAGGGACACTTGGTGGTGCTCCACATCCGGAAGTCCCTTAGCATTGAAACTCACTTGTCTGTGCTGTGCCCTTGTACAAAGGGAACTGGAACCTCAGTTCAAGCAGCTGCCAGCCAAGGTTGTCTTTTTGCCAACAGCTTGTTGGCTGGCCCAGGTGCAAGATTAGTGGATTTCCTTTTCTGTTCCTGGCAGGACATAAAGCTACATTCCCAATCTGCCATCATCGCTACTGGATGCTGAGGCTTTGGTTGGCAGAAGCAGGACAGAAGCCCAGGGTCAGAGATACAAAAATACCAGGTTTACCTTGTTCTTTTGGACAGTTGTCCTTAACTCTAAAGTAGGAAGGGGTAGAAAAGAATGCAAAGGTAAAAAATTGTTTACAGCAGTGCTCAGCTTTCTGTTCCTACCTTGCCTTTTAAGTATTGCTGTTCTCTTTTCTCCAGAAATGGGCATTTTGAATATAATGTCTATAACTGGTGCCAGTTCTGAGGGATGAGATGCCCTCTTCTACCCTCTGTTAAGAGGTAAAAGGATTCAGAAGAGACAGGTTACTCCTGTTCCCTACCTTTCTTTGTTTCAGGACACTGAGGCATGGCGGAAATCAAAACGGATGGTGATTGACAGACTACTGAGTCTAGAGGCAAAGCAGCAAACTCCCAAAGCACGGAGCCCTGAAGCAGCATTGCAGAGGTGGGTTCCCAACTGTCCTCCTCATTTGCTGCCTGCCCTCACCTTGGACAGAGTTACGGCTGCATGAAAGAGAAAGGGAACCGTCCCGGCACTTCCCCTTTCAGGTCCTCTGGAATCTCAGCAGGACCTTTTGCTTCTGCTGCCAGAAGCTGCTGCTTTTCTGAAGGCTCTTTTCTGAAGCGGGCTGAGAGCTCGCCGTCACCTTGTCATGCCTTTTTCACTTTGCTTCTTCCCTTTTCCAGCAGCACAATCTCTCTGCCATGTCTCCCCCAGGCTCTTGGAAGCAAACGGCCATCTGACAGCAGAGGGTGGGGCAATCCTGCTGCAGCGAGGAGCAACTGAGACACCCGCTGGTAAGGGGCTGTGTGGAGACAGGGCTCAGCACAGTGCTGGGCCAGCACTGGGTGTGGGAAGGGAGTGGAGCCAACAGCCATTGTCTTCTGCAGGGTACAGGGTGCCCTAGCTACAAGTTTACACAGCCTGAATGGGATCAATTAAGTCTGGAGGCAGAGCTCTCCATTCCCAGCAACTGGAGGTTGGTGCTCGAGTCTTAGAACAGCTAAAGTCAAAGAGAGAAGTCTGAATGAATCCTGTTCCTCCAGTCTCAGAGTCTTGGGCAGACCCGAAAGGTGTGGAGAAACAGAGCAACTCCTGCTTCTGAGGGACATTAAAACCTTCTCTTGTTTTTTCATTTCAGGGCTCGTGTACAACAGAGACATGAGAGTCCATACGGTGAGCATTGCCCTTCTGATGTGTCCCCCTGCTGCTTCTGAGCCCCGAGCTTACAGAAACCTCAGAGATAGTGGAGGCCCACTCACTGAGCCCAGGCCCTGCCTCCACCCAGCCGTTTACTTTCTGCTTCCTTAATTCCCACATCTCTTTTAAATGCTGCTGTTAAAAGAGCCTGCACTCAATCATTAACTGACTCAACTTACAGAGTCACTGGAAAATGTTACTGATTTTTTTAGCAGTTCCTCTGCCCCAGGGCCTCCTGGCCACATTTTCCTGCTGTTATAACTCCTCAGGCAGCAGATGGATGGATGCTTTCGGTCAGCTTCTTTGTCAGGTCACCCGTATAAGAAGAGGAGAGAGAGTGGAGCAGAGTCCTTATGTTTGATATTTTTATAGCTTTGTGCCACTTCTGAGCAAGAAGGGCCTCCTCTACCTGTGCTACTGCCAGGGTATGAAAGCCAGAGTAGCGTACTGTCTCCTTTTTAGTAAAAGGATTTTTAAAGCTTTTCTCTGCTATGAGATCATTCCCATATGTGCTGCATCCCAGCAGGCAGCGTTGTTGGCAGCCCTGAAACACAGCTGGACAGAAGGAGCCTTTGCAGAGCCAGCTACTCTTGAGCGCAGCCTGGCCGCCTGTCACGTCCCAGCACAGCAGCTTCAGGGCCGCAGCCACTTCAGCTTTCAGAGCTGCCAGTGCCGTGGGGGTCGGGGACACCCTCTGCCTCAGCTGCTGTCCCTGACCTTTGCCACTCCCTGTTTTTGCACCTGCAGCAGAGTCGAGAGTCCTTCACAGTGGAACAGTGTGTGAAGCTCCTGCAGAAGATCCAGGACCGTGTTCTCATCATTGTGTGAGTGAGGCACAAGCCAAAGCAATCCCCGCTGCCTCCCTGCAGCCCTGGGAACGAAGGTTAGAAAGGAGTCCTCTGCTGCTGCCACCCAGACCTTCAGGTTGCCGGTTGGCACAACAGTACAGCCTCACATGTGAGAAGCGTTTCCCCGTTCTCCACCACTGCCCTGGGCTGGATAGGCTCCTGGAACATCCTCCTGCCGGCCCGGTGCCGTGCGTTTGGGCTGGGCCTCCCCGGGGTGAAGCTGGCTGAGGAAATGCCAGTCCTGCCCCGTCGTCCCCACATTCCAACCTTCCCGCTCCCATCCTGCGACTTTCCATCTCTTGGCCCTACAGCAAGGGGCCGTCCTGGCAAATATGCGACCCTCCACAGCACTGCTGTTCCTTGCTTTCCTTCTGGCCTGGGTCTTCCCCCAGTCACAGCACAACCCAGCCTGCCCCCTTCTCCACACCCCAAAACCTCTTACCCGCGCAAACGGGTGAAACCTGCAGCATGGCAGGAGATGGCATGATCTTAGCTTTGTAGGAGGACTAGTGGCTGGCTTCTCCAGGAGGGCAGCCTTGATACCTCCCTCTGCAAGCAGGGCACACCCTGGTTAAAGCAGCATGGAAGGGGAAAAGGGACAGAGGGGAGATGTAGAAGCGGTATGGAAGGGAAAAATTAAGAGCTGAAGACAGGGTGGGGGCAGGGAACAGTGTACTCAGGCCAGTTAAGAAGCCAGCCCTGAGGGGACAATATTTAACCAGTCTCCACTCTGATACTACCAGGCAAGCGCCCAAGGTTTTAAGCAGATAGCTTGATAGAAAATAGCTGCTTAGACAAGCTGCATAGTGCTCCTCTGCCTACCCTATATGACCCTGTAACCCTGCTGTTTACAAGCAGCCTGGAAAGAGCAGTTGTGCGTCTTGCCCCGCTGTCTTGGGGATGCTGCTCCTGCCCAGAACAGCAGCAAAGAGAGGCACACTGTGCTGTACTGAGCCTTGCTGTTGCTTTTCAGGGCACAAGATGGACTCTTGGTACCGCACAAGCTAAACAGCAGAAATCACTTTGTGAAAGCCCTACGGGAGGCATTCGAGTCCACCCTCAAAGAGGTGAGAGCAACCTCCATCCTCGCATCTCTGTGTGCCACCAAGCTGGGAGCAGCAGCTAGGCAGCAGCTCACCTTGGTGGACACCCCCCGTAGGTCATTTGTCCTGAATGGCACAGCCCTCACACTGGGGGGAAGCCAACTTTGTCCCTGCTCCCAAAATCCCAAATTAGTGCTGCCCTCTGGCCCCAGCCCCTCCCTAGTTTTTCCATCCCCGTCCTGCCTTGCTCACCCCCCTCACCCAAGTGCCACACAGCAAGCTCAGCTTGCCTCAGGGAACACCTTCCTGGACCACATCTTCTTGTGTCCTTTCCCTCCAGCACATCCAGCTAGTCGAGGTGCCTGGGAGTCATTTTGTGCACCTGAACGAGCCCAAGGTGGTGTCTGGGATCATCAGCAACTTCCTGACAGTGCAGAATGCCAGAGCCAGGCTCTAAGAAGTCCCCACTGCTGCAGCACTTCAGGAGAGCAGAGCGCTAAAAAGCATGCTCTGGAGGAATTACCACCATTCCTAGCACACGTCCAATGTCAGTTTCGTAACTTTTTTCTAAGCTTAGGTCACTGCAGGGTAAAGCAGGTCTGCCAGGCATTCCCTGGAAGAAAACTCAGCAAAGTATCTCAGTTGTCAAATGCAAAAGGAATCCCTCCTCCACTTCCAGCTCTGTGAGCACGGGGACAGAGGCCCAGGGTGGCATTACCCTTGGTTGCTCCTAACTAGCACCCTGAAATGGAGCAGGAATACAGACTGAGCCTCATGGGAGCAGCAGCACCAGCTGTAGCAGGGCAAGAGGGAGGTGGCTCATCTCACCCCCTCCCCAAGGATGGTGCAACCAGTCTCCTCCCAGGATTAGACCTCCTGAAAAACCAGGGAAGCGTTCTGCTCTGCCTACTTCCATGAGTGTCTGAGCTCAGAGGACCTCAGTGTCTCTGTTCTACCACGAAAGCTGCTGCTTTTTTTTAAAAAAAAAAAAAAACAGCTTAAATAAGAGCTCACCCAGGCAGGGAAAGCCATTTTAATGAACTAGGGAATGAGTCACTAATCCTATAGCTGAAGCAGCTGGGAGAACTACTAATAATGGAAAAATTGTCAGAGCTGATTTCTGTCCTTCTAAATAAAGATCAACTGTCTTCTTGACTCTATAGGAGAGTGAATCTTCTTTCTTTTGGGATGCTCACCCAAGCAGCTAAAATGCCAGTCTTAGGAGGCAGTGATTTTTACATGCAGTCTGCTTTAGATAGGGCATATTAAAGATCCATCTGCCTCCTAGTTAAATTGATGCAAAAAGCCAACTGAACCAAGCAGGCCTGGCAGTCTCCCCATGCAATGGAAAATGCATTTGCAGTGGCTGATCTAGAGGAGGGTAAATCCATTTTAACCCAGCTGATGAATTCACTAGCATTTGCACCTTACATGGTCACACCTGTATTGAGGCTGCAGGCAGTAAAATAAATGTGTAAAAAGCCAGGGGGTGGGGGGGGCTTAAGCCCCTTTCTGATCACAGAGTGCACTGGGGTGAACAATCATTAAGTCCAAAGCTGTACAAATGTTACGTGGGCACTACAAAAGCACTGCCCTGCAGCTGGATATGCCCATCGCCCTCCTTACCTGCCTCCTGTGGGCTGGTGGCAGGTTAAGTGGAAACAGGCTTTGGAGTCTGGCTTCTCTCTCCAAAGCAAGGCTGCCATCTCACCTTTTCTAGTGATGGTGCTGAACATCAGAAGCTCCCACAGCCCAGGCTGGACCTGGCTGTAGAGTTCCACGCAGAGCTGGAAGACTGGGCACCTCAACATCTGGCTAATAAGGAGGGAAACACCGAGGGAAGGGGTAGGGCTCTGCTCTGTACCAAACCACTGATCCCCCCCTCTTGTTACAACAGGTCTGGGAACTTCCCAGTTGGGCCTTTCTCAAGGTTACTTCCTCCCTCTTCTTACTCACTCCCAGACAAAATGTGCAAAGGAGCACAAGCATACAAACCGTGCCTTTTATTGCCACCCCAGCACAGCAGAAGCTGTCCCTCACAGCAGACCCAGGGGAAGAGAGAGGTATTCTCATGGTTTGAGAACACAGCAGTTTGTTTACAGTTCTTCAGCCATTCCCTGCACCTGCAGAGGCTGTGGTAGGTCAATCCCAGCTTTAGAACAACTTTGGGTGGCAGGGAGATGCAGGTTGTCACAGGAAACGCCTCAGCCCCTTGACCTGAGCACCCTGGGAAGTGGTGCCATGGGGCCCAACGGTGGCCAGGAGAGCAGGAGGACACTGGTGCAAATGAAGGAAACTCCCCTTCCAGTGGCAGTTGCTGGGATCTTCCGTTTCAGATCCAAGGGCAGGGAAAACCTGAAGCTGCCTCAATTCCTTTAAATCCTTTGGCAGGTGGAGTCCATAGGCATCTCTCCTGCCCTCTTCAGCACAGGCATCCAAGGAATAGCTCAGCGCAGCTTAGTACGGCCGAAACTTGCGCTGGGCTCGCATCAGCGCGATTCTCTGCTTGTCCTCCTCAAATTTCCTCCTCAACTGGGCGATGTCTGAAACAGGCAGAGAGAAGACAGGTCACACGGGTGCAGCAGAGGTCCCTCTCCTCGGGAACCTCAGTTCCACACACCAGGAGGGGCTCAGTCCCGACACCCGCAGACACACAGGTCCCAGAGCAGATCCTTTTGCGCCAGGGCTGAGTGCCAAGCCAGGACTCTGTCCCTTCACCTCCGGCAGTGCTGCAGCTCCCTCTTGGGGAGGAAGCTGGCTAGTTTTCCCTTTCAATCTCTGCCTCTGTGCAGACTGAAGAAACATCTATTGGAAAGCCATGACCTGCACACTCCCCCACAAAATATTCCAGCAGCCTTCTCTAGGACAAGAGGTAGGCAAGGGGCCCCCGAAAGCTGGCGAGGCCATTCGCAAACCACCCAGCCAACTGTTCGCCTGCAGCTGCACGTAGCCCCCACTGAAGGAAGCAGGATGCGCTCTTTGGGCCACAACATGAGAGACAAGAGACACAGGCAGGGATAGGAGGAGACTTGGACACTCACGCTCTCTCTTGGTCTCGCGATGCTGCCAGGCATAGAAGTTGAGCAGCTCTTTGCGGGCCCTTTTCTGTTTCTCCTTCTCTAGCACCCGCAGGTTGGCAGCCTCAGTCCGGGGCAGGCCGGGCTTCCGGCCCTTTCGTGTTACCTTCACCCAGCCCTCCTCATCTGGAACACCCTCCTCCTGGGCCGCTTTGGCTTCTTCCTGCAAAGACAGGAGGGTGAGGCAGCTCAGCGCAGCCGGGCTGCCAGCCGGCCCGATGCCCGGCTCCCACGCAGTCCCCCTTAAACACATGCAAAGCTACAGCTCCTGCTTCTGCACAAGATTTGAAGGAAGATGCAGGACCAAGGGTGCAGGCATTCAACCCTGTCACAACACTACACACCAACCAGGACCCAATTTATTTGTGGATACCTATTGTAAGCCCTGGGTGGAGGAGTCAGGTGGTGTGGACCAAACCAGGATCAGACTTGCCCATCAGCAACTGGGTATAAAACAGCCCTTCCAAGTGTGTTCCCCTCTGCCCTTTCCACTGACACCAGGGCACTGAAAGATCTTCTCTCTTCCTTTCTTCTCCCCAAACTGCTTTCCCTCCCCAGCCTGGCCTCACCTCTGCTATCTTTTTGTCATAGTCTTGCATGTAGGCATCCACCTCAGCCTTCAGCTCCTCCTGATCCACGACTGAGGCAGCATAGTTGGCGATCCACTCTGAGACAGAGGGGGCAGAAGTCATCAGTAGCCTGTTAGAAGCAAGCCCTGGTGTGATGCCTTTGGGAAGCTCTAGGGAGAACTGTTGTGGGGAAGGACACACTCTACTCCCATTCCTGTTCAGCCTCCCCACTCCCACAGCTCAACCAACTTGCAGCCCATGCCACAGCCAGCAAGCGATGGGAAGAGCTTGCAGCTTTCCTGAGCAGAAGTGGGCTAGCTTTAAGCCCACGAGAGGCAACATTCAAGGCTGCGTTCCTGTCATGGGGCTGCATCCGAAGTGCTGTCATCTTAACAGACACCTGGTGCCTGTTACAGAGTCTGGATTCCATTCTGAGGGCAAGACACACCCAGTTTCTCTGAATCTATGTGATACTGGAAATATGTCAGAAAACACTGCCCTTCCATCATACCAAGTGACCCCATTCTCCCAGAGTCACTGGACTAGACTACATGTTCAGTAAAAGATTGCTACCTTGTGAATAATAAAAACAGGACAGTGAAACACTTTATGTCTCCTAGCTCAGTACAAAAAAGGTGATAGTTAATCTGGGACATACAGAGTAGAATTCAGCAAGGAATGAGTATAGTTCTGCCCAAGCACCAGCAAGCAGGAAGATAGCTAGGGGTCACTTACTGCTAATGCCAGTTTTCACAGGGTGACTCTCTGTTGATACCAGCAAGGGACCTTCCTGTGACAGGGCCTTGGCTGCCTGGACACCAGCTGGTTTCCTGAACACCACATATGCTACATGAAATCCCTAAAAGAAAAAAGGCACCTAGACCAGTCAGATACATTAGGAAAATTGGTGATGAAAATTGGTGATGCAGCAAGGAGCTGCAATACAAATAAAATAAAATATCAAACTACAAGTTGTAGTGGGATAGCAAAAAAAAATAAGTAACCACATCATCCAGTGCCCCCAAATGGTTTCCCATACCTCATGTTCCAAATCACACCATTTAGCGCCTTTGGTCTTTTCCCATTCTGACCACTAAAACATCAGTATTCCCCTCCAGCTTTACCGTTACAGGTTTGCAGTTGAAGAACTTGGACGTCAGTTTTTCTTTTTTCTCAGCCGGCCCTGGCTTGTCACAGATGTCCACAAACTGGACGCGCCCGCAGCGGGTGAACAACCTAGACAGAGCACCCTGGACGCGAAGAGCAAGAGAGAACACGCGGTACAGAAAAGCAGGAGCGATTCCCCTCCCCACCCCCCACGCACAAACACGGAGCGCCCCGGGAGGCCCCCCCGGCGCGGCCCTCGCCACGCGTGGCTCCTTCGCCCACGTCCCCGCGCTCCCGAGGCGATGCCCTCGGCCTCCAGCCGCCCCACTCACCGGGCTGCAGTACGGGGGAACGTTGAGGACGAAGAGGGTGCGGCGAGGCGGGTGCGCGGTGCCGGCCCCTTCCCGCACCTGGTGCTCCTTCACCAACAAGTAGTGGGGCGAGCGCTGCCGCGCCCCGAACTTCACCGCCAGAGCTGCGAGCGACGCACCGGTTAAAGACCCTGCTGCCGCCCCGGCCCCGCTCCCGCCCCCGGTGCCTCGCTGCTGCCCCCGGGCCCCCTCACCCGTGTAGCCCGGCGGCGCCGCTCCCGCCACACGCTCCTCGGCGGCCGCCATCTTAGCTCGGCGGAAAGCCGCGGGGCGCAGGGGCCGCCGGGAGTTGTAGTTCCCCACGCCGACGCGGCGCCGCTAATGGCGGCAGCGGCGGGTCCCTCAGCCCGGGCGGCGCCTTTTGGCGGGGGGGGCCGAGAGACAAACAAAAGGGTTTCCCCACCCAGAGCACCTTAGAGGATGCTCTGTAAGAAGGCTCATTTAACGCCATCATAATTGTAGCAGTCCTGAAAATGAAGACCTGAACAGTGTAAAATACAGGCAGTGTGCTTAATCCTGGCAAGGCCAATGAAAGAAATCAATCTTCAATATATGTAAAAACATTCAAAGACAACTGTAAGAACAACTGTTTTTAAAGACTCTTGTTAATTAGGAAAAGAAAAAAGGATAACTTTTACAGAGGAACTTGTATTTATGACTGAACGGAAGACAGAACCACTCCAAAAATAAAGATACTGAAGCAAGATGAATGTATAAGGTGAAAAAAGATGAGTGAAAGTAAGCAATTATATGGAGAACTGACTCAACCAAATATCCAAGTTAATGAACATTATCAGAAGTGGTACATGCAAAAACCATGAAAATATACCAGACAAACTTGCAAATTGTGGCATCATTTCAGAAGTCATCATGGTTTTGAAAATGCAAAGGAAAAAGAAACAAATGCTATCACAAATTAGCTACCACCTGTCCTGGCCAGCCATATTAAATTAATGCAAGCAATCAATATTTCATATGCAAGTGTATAATCTCTAGCAGCCCAGGGAAAACAAACAAACAAACAAACAAACAAAAAAACACAAAAAAACCCCAAAACCCACGCTGCATGAGGGCAAATATGCACAGATGTAAGATCAGAAGGTGGTAGGTGAGCTCAGAGGAGTGCAGACAAGGTTAGCATGAGAACTGCAGGACAGCCAGGAGAAACTGGAGAGCTGCAAGGTGAACTACTTGCAAAAGACTAGGAATAACTGGTTACTCTCAGTGCCCAAGGAAAGAAACTACACCATGAAGTAATTAGAAGACTAAGATAACTTTAGAGAGCTGACTGAGTACAGGAAGAGCAATGCACACCAAGACATTGCTGTAAGACAAATCATGGTGTGGTGTTCAGACCATCACTGACTTTACTGATTTAAAAAAAAAAATTAAAAAATACTGCCATAGACAGAGCTATAGAGCAGATCACTAGTTCTTACAATGAAGTACGTTAATGTCATCATAATTACTCACAAATAACCTAAACACAATGCACAATTTAACAGCAAGTTACAAAAGTCCATCTTGCTATTTGGCTTTTGGAATGGACATGAATCTATTAATAAAAAAATACTTGCATCTCCCCATTCTTTCAGAAGAGACAAGATATGCACTCACAATACACGTGTCTTCACATTTCCACAGCTTTCTATCTAGCTGATAATGAAAGTACTTTACCTAGAACAGGTATCCTGATTTCACAGCTGTTTTTTTAATAAAATCACTTTTTAAATTACTAGCCTGTCAATAACACAAAGGTCCTTTTTCTTTTCTGTGACACCAGAATTGGAACTAGGTAGGGACACAAACTGTTTACACTTAGCAGCAAGAATCAGCTAGTAATTTCAAAGATCCAGATTAAAAGGTTTATGAGCCTCAATTCTCTCAACCCACATACTCCTCGTTTGTTCTTCAGCACATTAACAGTTTTGAAGGTTCTAGATTATTCTAAAAGCACACTTGCTTCAATGTTGGAACAACTCCACCTATTTTTAGTTGCTTCACAGCATCTAAAAAGGCTTAGAATCCACTCCGTATAACAAACGTTTATTCAGAAACAGGTAATACATTATCTTCTCCAACCCCTAATGTTTCCACCCCTTCCCCCGTTATTATTTTTTTTAATAAACACAGGTGTTTGATGGGTAATCTAAAAAAGGAGAACAATAGCTGTTTTAGGTCCCCTCCCCTACAAACATCTGCTGTTTATGTGAAGCACCCTACCAATAATGGTGGTGTTGGCTTCCAAACCAAAGAGAGTACTCCAGAAAAATCAAGTCCTGCCAAGTCCTCAGTTATTTCCATGGCTAAAAGGGATACAGTGAGATAGAGGAATGGTCTGCACGAGCTAGATAGACCAAAGAATTAATACAGAACAAGAAAGCAAAAGAAACAGGGTTGACCAAGAAACAGAATCTGGACCTACAACAATTACAGAGTTCATTGCAGTTCAGCAGAGCTGAACAGAATGGATTAGGTTAGTCTCCTAGCTAGAAGGATCAAGTTCAAAGCCCAACCCGATTCTGGAAGTGGCTCTTGGCTTTCCTCTCTTACCATACAATCTGAACAAATACAAACGAATTGAGCTACTTGGAGTTCAAATACCCATGGCAAGAATGCTGTACTAACAAAGGAAGCATTGGAAGTGCCACCTACTGGCTTGTGGCTCCGCAGAGCAGCTCACTGGCCCGAAGTACATCCGTGCTGCTCTGCATGGGACCTGCTTAACACTCGGCTCCTACGTGTTCCCTACAGAGTGGTAACTGCTCTCCTCTCCCTGAATGCTTGAAGTGCAGCAATCATCCTCCAAATCTATGCATTTGAGCAGCATGTCCGCACAGCAGCCAAACATTGCTCAAATGAGCTCTCAGGCACAAGAAAAGACTGCTTCCAATGTATTAGTATCTATAAAAAGTCCCCAGAGCTCCTTCCTTTTTATAGGAAACTGGGTAAGTTAAAAAGTAAAAAAAAAAAAAAATAATGTCCCTGCATCAACAGGAGGACACAATACAGTCTAACGGGAGTGAAACACTTGGATTTCCTCTGACTCTAGATATGAGACTGGTTCTTATTTTTCAGTACAGATTTAAGAGAGCAACCGCGCCTGACCCTACAGGGCTAATACATTCACTGTACAAATGCCAGAGCCTTTCCCACCCGCCCACCTCTGCATTACCAGAGTTGAAGCATCCCTACCATAGCACAATGGGTGGTGCACTTGTGCATATGTCCTTTCTGCCTGATGCCTCTGTTGGCTGGTATACACAGCAGGAAGCTCAGTTTTTCACACTTCTTCTCAATGTCACAGCTGCTGAGCAGAAAAACATCCAACAGCCAGAATGCAGTACACCACTGAATGAATACAAATCAAAGATGCAAGATGGTGCTTCCTTTTATGGAGCCACACCTGACTTTGTAGCCAGCACAGCAATTTCAGAAACAATGTGGTGTTCTTGCCTGTTGATAATCAAAGGGATGCACCTTTTAGTTAAAGGTCAGTCAGAAGGAAAGAGAAGGAGATCACCACTCCTTCCCTCAAAGTCTATGTGCACTTTTAATGGCCACTAGGGGCTTTGGAGTAAAGGAGGGAGTTACATGGTATATGCTTGGTAATACATTACTGGTAGAAGGGGGAAGTTATTCTTTCGAGAAAAAAAAAATCATGGAAGAAAACTCCAACTATGAAAACAGAAAGTACACACACAAGAGGAAACACTATTGTACAATAAGGTAGCGATCATAGAAAACAAAAAATTTCAAGGCAGGCAAATGCAAATAACATCTGCACTCCTGCACTTTTCTCATTCTCCAACTTAAATGAGTTTTCCAGTCCACTGCTTGCTCCCCCTTCTCAGAGTTTAATTTTAAATTCTGTGGGCTGCACAGAGGCAGAGACCCCTGAGGATTTGAAGAGTGCCTTCAAGATAGTGTCAGGGTCCACTTCAGCTGGGGGATTTGAGGAGGCGCTTGCACTTGACCGACGTGGTTCCCCTTCCTTCTTCACTGAAGGGGTATCACTCAGTCGGCTGGAGGATTAAAAAAAAAGCAGTATTTAACCTCTCATTATGAGAAAAATTTAACACTATGTCTGCATTTACTGTTAACAGTGTTGTCCCCTTACCAATATTAAAGATAAAGGTTTTAAATATGCTTTCCTCACAAGAAAACTTAATCTCAGACTCATTTTAAACATCAGTGCTGAGAACACTGTGGAGTCAAGCTATATTGCACTCAGCTCAACACAGAGCACCACAGAGAGGAAGAAAAGGAAAATATTCATGGGACAATTTGCCAACAGTTTCCCTCCCCACCCTGCAGACTCTTCTCAAAACAGAACTTGCAAAGGTATTTGGTTCTTCCCCCCACCCAAACACAGGGTGGTCTTACAGTAATATAGGCTGGTCTGAGGTGATGACATTCCCATTCATATGAAGATTGCATTTCATTGGTTGACCTAAACAAAAGCACAATAAAAAAGTTCTATCAGCATTGTGGTAAGGTCCCAGAAATATCACACAACATTGCAAGCAATAGAGTTCCACGTGCTGGGAAAACATGAGAAAGAACAGCTGATACATTTTCTGTTGCAAAATCACAGCAACAGAATAGACACTGAAACACTCAGTACAATGTGAAGAATCACACTAATTAAGAAGTTACATGTAGGTATAAAATCCTTAGCAGAGACACAAGAGAATCTCCCATTCTCAGCTGTCTGATCATCTCACATTTGCAACATGTCACTTATCTAGAGAAAGGAAAAGCATCTATCTCCAGCTAAAAAGTAACAGTTAATTTTATTCTATAACAATATCGTAGGTGGATCCAGATTGAAAAAATGCACTGTTCAAAGTTTATGGACAAGCTGATACTAATTGTTTTACAAGTTCAATTCAAAATGTCTCTGACTACACCTTGAGACTTTTGCAAACATTAGTTTTACTTGTACAGTGCAAACGGCTATTCTGTAAACAGGTAAAGCCTTCATAAGAACTATCTAGCTCACAGCATTGGATTAGAAACAAAAGAAATTTGATCTGGAAGGTAGATCAGGAGACTCACTAGGACTCTGCCTCTAGCTGTGAGCATTCTCTTTCTAGGTAGACCTTTTTTTTTTCTTTTTAATTTCACTTACATGAACTGTGCATATATTCAGCTAGTTACACAGGAGCCTATTACACTGTCTAGCTCTTGAACTGATTTTCTAGCATTTTTTCTCTCTCGGTAGCATGACAGCATCTAAGATGCTTTTAAACTCTCCGCTGAGGAAGAAAAGTGGTCATTGATTTATCTATCCTAAATGCAACTCTGGCCTCAAACTTACCATCTAAGCACCTGTTGTTGTATTTCTTATATGCTGTGATAGCATCTTCTTTCTTCACAAATACTACCTCAGCCACTCCAGGGTGCACCAGCCGGGCTCGCTTCAGAGCACCACACACACAGAATAATTCCTGAGGGCAGAGAGTTAGTCAGGACCACGGTCACATCAAAGGTACCACTTCAACCAAAGACAGCTAGTGAGAAAGGCTTAGTTTCCTAACTGTATCACCCATACTGCTCAGTAAACAGACGGCAGAATTCTGATACTTGTCTGTGTTTGCTATGGTATGAGTGCTTGGCATTAGTAATAAGAGGTTGCACAAGCAGAAAAGTTCAGTACTCTATACCATTTGTCACAGGAAGACCAGGATCATTCTCAGCCTGCTGAGAAGGGAAGCACCCAGATAATTTGGATGGGGCATAAATTAAAGGAGAACACCAAGCATCATTTGACATGAACTCTAAGTGATCTCTGGTATCTCATTACACCCCAGAAATTGTATTTTGTCTCATCTTAAGCACACATTTTTTTAAAAAAAAGTGAACAAAACCCAAAACAATGAGGACCCCTCGAAGCTTTTGCAAGGAAAGCAAACCCACATCATACCACTCCTCATTTCATTCACCACAGATCAATTGATTTATCAAAAGAGGTAGGGTAAGGGAAGGAAGCATCATTCAGCAGTAAGCAACACTCACAACAATGTCTTCCTCTGTGACTCGAGGATGCAGATTGTTTACAGTCATCTTTGTGCCTTCCAAAGGACTGAATGCCAGCTGCCAACACAAACAAATGCATCACAAAAAAAGGTCAGAAATACTGCAGGCAAGACAGCACAGCAGAGAATGCATTAAAAAGAGTCACTAAAGGGATGTCTGGGAAAGTCTGTTCACACACAGAGGAAAGCCATGCAGCTAGTAATGGGAAGTATCAATGGTAACAAAAGCCCAGGTCACCTGATGGTGAAAAGGAGCCCCTTTCCGTGCTAATTTCTGAAGTAACTTTTTCATTCCCAAGTATAACACTAACTTAATCTGCATACATACATAGTACCCTCTGGTCATGCCCACACTTATGTGTCTCTGCTACACTCTATACCTGCCAACAAACCCCAGAATATGGCTCCAGCCCCTCAGGAGCATGCTGAACTCAACATGCCTGGAAACAGCTGGTGGGTTACCTGTACCCATGTCCTTGTTTCAGCTGGGATAGTTACTTTTTCTTCTTAGTAGCTAGAATAGTACTGTGTTTTAGATTCAACATGGGATTTGGTACGAGAAAAACGTTGATAATACACTGATGTTTTCAGTTGTTAAGAAACCAAGGACATTGCTGCTCCCCATGTCCTGCCCGCGTGCAGGTATACAAGAAGCTGGGAAGGAGCACAGCCAGAGCAGCAGACCCAAATTCACCAATGAAAAATTCTGTTTCATATAATGTCATGCTCAGTATACAGAGGAGGGTCAGCTGGGAAAGGCAGGGCTCTCGCTCACTTCCAGGATTGCAGTTTCAGGATCTTGGCTTCTCTAGGATTGGGCTGGGTATCGGTCAGCAGATGGTGAGAAATCGCATTGTGCATTATCCACTTGTACTT